TTAATTAAAAAAAATAATTACTTATTAATATTTTGATACAAAAAAATTATACTAATGAATGTAATTTCAACAAAACTAATAATATATCCTATCCACATCCCACCAATGAACCATAAAGTTGGGGTATGTAGTTATCCCAACCATAAATGCCCTCCAATCGGTACCATCTTCCAGAACATGACAAACAAAAAAATTTGGAGGCATTATGGTATACCGTTCAACTTCAAACCGTCTCTCCATCAACAGTCTAATCCAAATCGTGATATGCTACGAATGTTATTGTACTTTTGTTAAAAATTAATAAATAAAAAATCACTTATTAGCATAAATTTATAAATACTTACTGCTTCATCTAACCAGCCGTCATGTGTATGCCCAAACAATGTGCTCCAAAACTTTGTATCTAATATCAAATTGTACAATTTGTGTTCCACGTTAAACACATGATAAAAATAATTTTGTAACACAACCTCACCGCGTGCTATGTAAGGCTGCAGACGCAAAATTGAAAAGTCATGACCAACACTGAAAATAATTTTGTAACACTCCATATACTTTCGTCATTCACTTCTTCCACATTCACCTTGGTGCATTGTCGGTTCATATACACCTCTTGTTCGAGTGCAAATAACCGATTCACCAACTCTTATAAACTTTATTTCCCACTTTTCTCTGCTCTACTGTGGGTTCGGCCACTAGACGATACACTACACGAAGATTCGTCTTGCCTCCTAAAATGCTTCCGTACTGGGGATGGAATTGAAGGTGCTTCACCATACACATACTCTTGACATGACATATAATAAGAAGATCTTCTCTCATCATCTATCGGTGTCATGTTATGTCTTAGTGTTCGTCCCTCCAAAAACAAATTAACATATGGATAATGTTAGTAAAAGTTTAAACATAATATTTAAATAAATAAAATAAAATATACAAACCTTTGTCGCATCAAAAATCTTGTTCACATCAACCCATTTCAATATTTTGGTTGAACTCCAACGCTTCACCCGAAGTGTATCTTTGTTTTTACGTAACGCATAACCACAACCTCGAACAGATGGAAGCATCTCATAAATCCATATCTATAATTTTAGCAATTATATTAACATCAATTATAACAACTAATATACATGTTATAAT